AAACTCAACGTTTAACCTACTCACGCCGGCTTGTGCCCGCCCTCACAGTCGGCCATATTTGCGGAATACACCACGCCGCCGTTGACCCTGGCCATTGACCGAGCAACCCAACGTTCCTACCAGCTCCCTCCGCAGGAATGTGTTTGGCACGTTTTGTTTACCTGAAAAACCTTACGAATTTTCTGTCGGGTGGTGGCGGGTTTGACGACACATTTATATTTATGCGATCTAACCCAAAAAAAAGCATTTCTATGGATAATGGTCGCGAAAACCTACAAATATGCGTTAAGTTGCACTCTTGACACCGGCACTACCTCTGGAAAGTGATGTCGGGTGATCCTGAACATCCACTATATCTCCGAGTCAACCCCTAACCGGTTGCACCCGATTCAAGAGCCGAATGGCTCACAGGGCTATACCTAATAAATGAACTTGAACCGATTGCAAGCCACCACGGTTCCATCTAGACCAAAACCTCCTGGACATCCGTGATTAAAAAAAAGCTTCATAGCTCATCGGATTCCTCCAGTATAAATACACACTCCCCATTCCCATTTCGCACCACATCCAAATATAAAAAAACCTGGCACACTGCATTGTCCATTACATGACATTCCAGCTGCCATGAACTTATTTGCAGAAGTAAACCCTTTCAAACTGAAACTGGCCCCAAAATCGAGCTTCGTGGCAAATGGAGCCACGTTAATGCTGCTTCGTCAGCGTTGGCGGGTTCACCAACTCCCCGAGGGGATGTTTACTGAAAAGGTGAAATCGCTTATTACTTGTACTTAATCGCGGCGTGAATGGGCTCAATGGCTCAGCTTTGCATACAGGGGTGGGGGGGACACTAAACAGAAGTGATAACGGTAGTGCTGTTCAAGTGGTGTCGTTTTTATCCATTAAAAACTTGCCAGGTTGGTCTCAGTGGCAGAGCGGGCGGCTCGCAAATTGTGAATTAATAATCCTGGTGTGGGGTTGACTCAAGCCCATCATATATCTCTGCAGGGTTAGGTTCTATAAAAGGGATTTGCTGTACTGCATTATGGGAGAAGCCAAAAGTGGTTTGAAATGTGAAATTTCCACCACTGGCTTTGGTGGGGTCGTAAAGAGATGCGCACCATCTCAAATGTTCATTTTAGCAGGAAATCACTCTGGCTTGGGTACGGAATCTTTATTTATACTGGAGGAGGAATCCGATGAGCTATTAAGCTCTTTTTCACAAATGTCCAGTAGGGGCAATGGGGTCATGACGTTACAAAAACAATAACAAAACACGATAGGAGTGCAAAGTATAGGAAAGGTGAACAAATCACTTAAAAAATACAAATTAATTATTTGTATCTTACCAGATAAAGCACAGAGGTACTAACTTATTTTTCAGAAGCGACCTGGCCACAAATGATAGCTCAATAAAACGGAAATGTATAGCATCCAAATACCCTAAACACGTGTTGTTGATTCTAAATGTGGAGGGGAAAACCGGAGGACCTGGAGAAAAATACACGCAACCCCGGGGAGAGAGACACGCAAACTCCAAATATACAGCTAGCGTCAGGGTCGGAATCGAACCCAGGACCTCCTGCATGCCAGACAATGTAGATAACGCATCTTCCTAGCCACCGTGGTGAGGGTGGCGAGTGGTGAAGGTGGTGAGGAGTCGAGTGGGAGCTTGACAGCCGGTACAGGTGGCGAAATTGAGGTCGATGAGGGTAGAATGGCAGTGGAAGCAAGGTTTGGTGACATCAAGGTGGTGGGAGGGCGAAAGGTTAAGAATGGTGGGAGGGCGAAAGGTTAAGTATGGTAAGTATGGTATTGTGGTCTATGCAAACATGACTCATTGTAAAAAAAGGTGTCAGCTTTGTTGCCAGATAAAAGGGTAAAAAAACAATTATCATATTTTTTTTTCTTCTGGCAAATGAGGTTCCAATGGTGTAAATGCTTACCCCGAGCTCTCATACTCTGATGGTGCATTGTCTTTGAGTTGTGCGCCTTTTGGCGCCATCTGGTCCAACACCATGTGAGACTAGGCTCTAAGAAAAGCTGTCTCGGGTGTGGACCAATCAACTTCAAGGACAGTGCATACATTATCAGAGTTATGTTTTTTGTTTGCATTATGACTGCAGGTATTGTGGTCTAAGCAAACATGACTCCTTGTAAAAAAAAGGTGTCAGTTTTTTTGCCAGATAAAAGGGGTAAAAAACCAATTATCATATTTTTTTCTTCTGGCAAATGAGGTTCCAATGGTATGGTAAAGGCGCCGAGAGAGGCGAGGTAAAACAAAATGCATTTCAGAGTGTTGAGCTCAAGAGGGATGTGAAAGCTGAGGATTGGTGGTGGGTGGGTTGAAGGAAATAAATGTGGAAGTGAGAGCAGCTGCGGTTGAAACAGACGGGCGAGTTTAAGGAAATCAAGGAGGTACACGGGAGCTGAGTTTCACTTTCCACCGACGAATATCGTTTTCCAGGCTCAATGGTAGATTGGTGTTACCGTAAGTGTTGTACATGACTTCTATGCTACATCCGGGGGCGCCACGAGGCGATATGTCAACTGGTATACAGGAGGTCGTGAACCCGACACCTGCTGTATATTTTGAGTTTGCGTGTCTCTCTCTTCCTGAGTTCGTGTTGATTTTTCTTCGGGTTCTTTCGGTTTTCCACCCCCACCACATTTAGAATCAACAGCACGTGTTGAAGAGTTTTTGGCTGCTTTACATTTCCACATGTTAAGCCAATTCGTTGAGCTATCGCAGGTTATTCAGGTCGCGTCTGAAAAAGAGCTACATTTACACTATGAGGTCTCTTTTACCAGTGGCAAAATATAGTAGTAGGTTTTTACCCTTTTAAACTGGTACAAAACTGACAGCTTTATTCAAGGCATCATGTTTGCAATAACCACAACACAAGTAGTCAAAAAAGCAAACAAAAAGAAGCAACTCTGATAATGATAATAATATGCACTGTCCTTGAAGTTGATTGGTCCACACCCGAGACGGCTTTCTTTAGAGCCTAGTCCCAATTGGTGTTGGACCAGATGACACCAGAAGGTGTGTTGTGGTTATTGCAAACATGATGCCTTGAATAAAGGTGTCAGTTTTGTACCAGTTTAAAAGGGTAAAAACCTACTACTATAAGAGCTACATTATATAGCAGCCCAGTGGGCCTTACCTGGTAAAATAAAAATACATGTAGTATGTTCAAGTTATTTCGCACCGTACGTAGCCAAACATGCTAATCGGAGGTGAAGGGGAAGGACAACAAACTAAAACACACAAAAAGCAGTTCTAAACATTACAAATGCACTATGGGAACCTCATTTGCCAGTAAAAATATAATTGGTTTTTTACCCTTCTATCTGGCAACAAAACTGACACCTTTTTACAAGGAGTCATGTTTGCATAGACCGCAATACCTGCAGTCATAATACAAACAAAAGACATAACTCTGATAATGTATGCACTGTCCTTGAAGTTGATTGGTCTACACCCGAGACAGCTTTCCTTAGAGCCTAGTCTCACATGGGTTGGACCTTTTGGCGTCATCTGGTCCAACCCATGTGAGACTAGGCTCTAAGGAAAGCTGTCTCGGGTGTGGACCAATCAACTTCAAGGACAGTGCATACATTATCAGAGTTATGTCTTTTGTTTGTATTATGACTGCAGGTATTGTGGTCTATGCAAACATGACTCCTTGTAAAAAGGTGTCAGTTTTGTTGCCAGATAGAAGGGTAAAAAAACAATTATCATTACAAATGCAGATAACCGAGTTGAAGGCAGTATTGCAATGTGGCGATTATGGTAAAAGTCGTGAATGAGATAGAAATGTATTATGTGGGTTTGCAAATGTGGTTATCCCAAGGCTATAGAAGGGTGCGTGGCGATGAAGTGGTGGCGATGGTGAGAGATGGTCGTGGTTGGTTGTATGTCGAACTTCTTTCGCACCGTACGTAGCCAAACTGGTGTGCGGATTGCATGCCGTGTCAAGCCATCACGGTTTACCCCGTATTCTTGTACAGGGAAATTTAGTTTTCAGGTCCATACGACGTGTACAACCGTTTAAATACGGGACTTTGTTGGATGAACGTTGATATTTATAAGGGCACGGGGTGATCAATAAGGTCTGAATTGGTCAGTAATAAGGTAGGGCACTGATAAGGGGTTAACAGGTCTGCTACTAAACACTACACTATACACTACTATACACTAAACTACTTTACACTACACTATACACTACACTACTATACACTACACTACTACATACCTGTCAACCCATACGGTTTACTCCGTATTCGTGTACAGTAAAACCTTGGATTGCGAGTAACTTGGCCTGCGAGTGCTTTGCAAGACGAGCAAATTTTTTAAATAAATATTATTTTGATAAACGAGCGAGGTCTTGCAACACGAGTAGTACGTGTATACGCTTTGTCTGCCGAGCGTCACGTGATCACAACTGATATACGAGTGCTTTGATATACGAGTGCTTTGATATACGAGTGCTTTGGATTACAAACACGTTTCCGGAACGAATTATGCTCGCAATCCAAGGTTCCAAGGTTCTACTGTACATGGAAATTGAGTTTTCAGGTCCATGCGGTTTTTACAGCCGTTTCAATTCCTGCAACAAAAATGTTTTTTTTTGCCTATTTACGTTTCTCCCTTGTGATGGGAGTTTGTAGGATGAACGTTGAGATTTGTGAGGGGCTCGGGGTGACCAATTAGGTCGTGAATGGGTCTGTAATAAGGTAGGGCACTGATAAGGGGTTGACAGTTTTGGGATTGCTAATCAGACACTGCACAGCAGAAGTGAAAGATGTGCGAGCGTGGAGGGAGGGGGGTTAAGCGTCTACAATTCCTAATATGCTCAGAAGTCGGTGTGTGAAAGGAGTGTAATGATATGACGACGACGACGATGATGATGTTGATGATGGTTGTGAGGTGTCAATGCCCAACCCCCCCCCAAAAGAAAACGAGGGAAGACAAAGACGGTCCCGGGGAAACGCCTCACAGGCAGCTGAAGTCGAACAGGGTGCGCGCGTTGAAGCGACGATCTCCCAACAAGGTATCCATGGCGTGTTTGTCCTGAGGCAAAACAACAACAACAAACCACCACCATTAAAATCAACAACAACAACAACAAGAGACCTCCATTAGCCACTCGCTGGCAATGGCCGCCGACGGAGGGGCGATCATTGCCCAAACACCGTCTTTTTAAAATATTTTTTTAATAAAAACATAAAAACCTTTCAAACACCGCGCATTAAACAATTTGTACATTTAACGATCGTTTAACGCGACGCTTTGCTCCCTCTGTCAATGCGATTCGGCGTTCTAAATGCGAATCGATAATTTAACAAACGGGCCACAAGGCCTCAAACAGAGCGCGGATGTCGCCTGAACACAGTAGCCCCCCCCCCCCCCCCCATCTATGACGCAATTAACAATCTTCTTTTAAACGAAACGAAACAAAGGCAACATAACGACGCTTTTAATGCGCTCGGGATAGAATGTTGTTCGCTTTATTGTCACCTGTAATTGTTTAAAGCACTTGAATCTTTCCGTCGGATCCACACGATGTTGGGAGAAGACGCACAGAGCTCAACCCGACACGGACTCAGTTTGTGTGGCACGCAGCGAGTGACGTAGGCTGATGAAGCTGGCCCCGCCCCTCGCCACTCGCCCCGCCCATCGCCACGCCCCTTGCTTTGCAAACCACGCCCCCTTCGCCTCAAAACCACGCCCCCTATTTAACCCCGCCTTCTTTATCTCAAGACCCCGCCCCCTCACTCTCAAACCACGCCCCCTTTACAGCAAAACCACGCCCCTCTATTTCAAGACCCCCTCATCCTCCAATCCCGGGCCGCCTCTGACTCCGCCCCTCCTCATCAAACCACGCCCCCTATTTAACCCCGCCCCTTTCATCTTCCAACCCCGCCCCTCTCCATCCCCCATATGCCCCGCCCCTTTCCATCACCCCACAGTCGTGACGTCTCGCGCTGGAATGTTTGGGTCACGTGGTAACGATATTTGACGGTTTGGAGAGGGGGGGGGTGAAGGAGCGGTGGTGCAGCGGTTAGCGCGCTGCTGCGCGACCGATAACCCTTGCGGACCGAGTTCGATTCCCCGCTCGAGGTCACCAAGACCGGTGGCGATTATCTTGGAGCCGGTCCTGGTGGTCTGCCCCTAGGTCGACTCAGCCTCAAATGAGTACCCGGTGGGGTGTGTAGTAAACATCGCCACTGGGGAGACAAAGGCGGCCGGGCGTGGATGCTGGCCACCCACCCCCCCTCGTGTGCCGTGCCAGCCTTCATAGGTGCTCGCTAACAGCACTTGCCCCAGCAGTCCGCTAAGGCTACACGGGGGATCTTTGTCTTTGGAGTGGGCGAGCGCGAGCCCCTCCCCTCAGCCCCCCCACACCCCGCATTAAAGCACGTGACCAAGCAACCAATCAAGGCGCGCCAAACTCGAACAGCGCGCTGACGTCACCACGTCCTACGCGTGACGTCGACGCAACGTTATTTTCAGGTGCACGTGACCAGGCCACGCTGCGCGATGACGTCACAATTAGATTTCCTAGTTTAGAATGGAGGACGGTATTAATGCTGTGCAGATGGAGGAATCTGATGAGGGGTCGGCCATAAATGACGTCACGCGATTTTGAACGATTTTTGACCCCCCCCCGTCGTCACAGACCCCCCCCCTCAAATATGACGTCACAAAGCTCTGCCCCCCCCAATCAAAAAAATTAAACTTGCTTCAAATCGCTTTAAACTATTGACATTGTAGTGCGAATTTAATGTGGCGCTGCACTCTGATGTTGTAGGAGAAAACATTTATTTAAAATGCTGGTTTAAAGCTTTCGTGACCGTAGGAATTCATATTCTTGGTTATTTCGGTAAAGTCACGTAGAAGGGAAATAATAAAAGAAAAAACAATATTGTTTTATATTTTTCATAATAATAAAATTATAATAAATATAAAACAATATTGTTTTATATTTCTAATAATAATAAAATACAAATATATAAAACATTACTGTTTCATATAGTTTAATTATTATTTTATTATTTCCCTTCTATGTGACTTTACCGAAAGAACCAAGAATATTTATTAAAAAGTCTATTTAATTAAGTAGAACGTGTTGTCTATATTTTTTAAAGTTGCGCATTTTGATGTGACGTCACATTTCTCAACCCCCTCGTCACACATCGTCACAAATGTCTGACCCACCCCCCCCCCCTTAGGTGCGTGACGTCATTTATGGACGGCCCCTGAGCTGCAAAGTTTTTCTACACAGATGCCCAGCAGGGCCGAGTCAGACAGTTACCATACATTAACCCGTAAAAACAAAGTTTTTCATTATAAATCCTTTATATGCGTGGCCTCTCGTCCTCTGGCTTGAGATGGCTGCCACCTATGGGTCAGATGATTGTCTACAAGCATTAAGCAATTGGTAATTACATTTTTTTTTTATTCCCTAAACAGTGTAAAATTTTGGGAAAAAAATTTTCACGAAAATTTATTGTCACGCACAACGAGTCTGTGTGCAAAATGTCAGCTCGATTGGATCACGGGAAGTGGGTTAAAAAACGACCAAAAGATTTGCACGGTCGTAAGCAAGCAAGCAAGCACGCAAGCAAGCAAGCAAGCGAGCTTAATATAAAGGATTTAACAACAAACAATACTATAAGCACGGTAGGGGGGCAAAGTCTAGGTCAGGTAAACAAATCGTGAACAAAACAAATAACTTATTTTATTATGTTGATTTAAGATGTTCTCCGTTTATATTTAGTTTGTTGCGGTTGCACCCGACTCAAGAGCCGCATGGCTCACAGGGCAACACCTAATACATGAAACTTGAATGAAATAAATGAAACTTGAAGTGCCCTTCCAAATGAAATTTAAATGAAATAAACGAAACTTGAAGTGACCCCCGCCCGCACGTGGCCGAGATGACGTAGTACCCACGTGTTCGTCGCCAGAGGGCGCGATCACGTGGCGTTGTGGAGACGCACGAAGATTTTGGGGAAAACATTTTGATTTAATTTAAAGCTTTCGTAAACGCAGGGATTCATATTATTGGTTCTGTCGGTAAAGTCACGTAGAAGGGAAATAATAAAATAAAAAAAAAAATCCTCACGACGTTTCGATTGCAACACAAGCAATCATCATCAGGTGTGAAAGCCACGTGACTTTATCGAAAGAACCAAGAATATAAAAGTCGAGCTCCAGTTCAATATTCAGTGTGTAGTAGATTTAAAGCACGTGATGGAGCATTACCACGTGATACAATAAAAATATGAACTGCTCTATATATTCTAATGCAAGAATGATAACTTAAAATATATTAATTGCTTCAAACATGTATTTATTAAAATGTTTTAATTTAAATAGAACAAACAAACATAGAACAAGTGTTAAGTTAAATAAATAAAGTCATAATAATAATAATAAAATAGTAAAACAATACCAATTAGAAAGTAATAGGTCTTTTCAAATCGCAAAAAAATCGCAGCCTTTGCGATTTCCTAATCGCATTGTTTCAATTCTCGACTTGAGTTGAGAATTTGTTGTTGTTGTTGTTGTTAAACCGAATTCGAACTAAAATAATGACATGGCTCTCCTTATTATATTGGTTTCCGACAACCCTGTCTTCGACAAAATATAATCCCAGCAACACGGCGGCAGGACCCTCTTGAAAATGAGTCACACGACGCGGCGTGGCAGGATGAATCACTAAAATGATGACGATAACGATACTCGGAATAATAAGAAGAATCATTGTTAAATTTCGATTTAAAGCTTTCGTGACTGCAGGGATTCATCTTCTTGGTTCTTTCGGTAAAGTCACGTAGAATAGAAATATTAAAATAATAAAAATAAAAGATGATAAAATATTTCTCACGACGTTTCGGCCACAACAACACAAGCAGCCGTTCTCAGGTGAAGAACAGGTCTGTCTCATTCAGACTCTGTCTTTTCCGACAGACCTGTTCTTCAGACAGACCTGTTCTTCACCTGAGGACGGCTGCTTGCGTTGTGGCCGAAACGTCGTGAGAATTATTTTATTGTGTTTTATTTTTATTCTTTTATTATTTCCATTCTACGTGACTTCACCGAAAGAACCAAGAAGATGAATCATTGCTATTCACTGCTGGCTTTGTTCTGTTATCACGGTGTCGATGGTTGCTTCCCAACGTCGTAATTCTGCGCAAGCTGACGGTGCCGCTGATGATGATGGAGGAGACGCGTTAGGTCTTCGATGGAATTCATTCATCGCATGGCCTAGAGCCCGTGACCCCGTGTGTGTTTCATGCAAAATAAAGTCCCCCACCCCACCCACCCCACCACTCCACATGTGGCGGGTGGGGTGGGTTTGGGGTAAAAAGCTCTTGCCAAATAGAGCCACCCTCCCTAACCACTATCACCCCCCCCCCCACCACCACTCACATCATTTAACCCTCGCTTCACCACAAACCCACAATGTCTCGCAGTCATCCACGCATCGGTTGGGTTCAGCGTGTTCGTACTCCCGGGTGCCTCCTCCCGTGTCACCGCTATTCACCGATTTTATTTGACCAGGTAAGGCACCGACTGAGTCATGTAGCTTCCTTGTGTTGTTGTCAGGAACTACCTGGCCGCACAAGATAGCTCAGCAACGTGGCACACGAGGGCACCGCTCAGAAACCGCGTTTATAACGGTGCTCGCGTTCTGCGTTATAACAGGAGCGCGTTTCGCGTTATAACGGGGATGCGTTCCACGTTATAGTGGGGAAGCGTTTTGCGTTATAGCGGGGAAGCGTTTTGCGTTATAACGGGGAAGCGTTTTGCGTTATAACGGGGAAGCGTTCCACGTTATAACGGGGAAGCGTTCCACGTTATAGCGGGGTTGTGTTTTGCGTTATAACGGGGAAGCGTTTTGCGTTATAACGGGGAAGCGTTCCACGTTATAACGGGGAAGCGTTCCACGTTATAGCGGGGTTGTGTTTTGCGTTATAACGGGGGTGCATTCCACGTTATAACGGGGAAGCGTTCCACGTTATAACGGGGAAGCGTTCCACGTTATAGCGGGGTTGTGTTTTGCGTTATAACGGGGGTGCATTCCACGTTATAACGGGGAAGTGTTCCACGTTATAACGGGGAAGCGTTCCACGTTATAACGTGGAAGCGTTCCACGTTATAACGGGGAAGCGTTTTGCGTTATAACGGGGTTGTGTTCCACGTTATAACGGGGAAGCGTTCCACGTTATAACGGGGAAGCGTTCCACGTTATAACGTGGAAGCGTTCCACGTTATAACGGGGTTGTGTTCTGCGTTATAACGGGGAAGCGTTCCACGTTATAACGGGGTTGTGTTCTGCGTTATAACGGGGAAGCGTTCCACGTTATAGCGGGGTTGCGTTCTGCGTTATAATGGGAGCGCATTCCGCTTAGTGCGAAAAGTGTTCCCGAATGTAAAAAAAAAAATCGTTTGATGGCAAAAACGCGTCATCGTGTGAACTCCCTTATCGTGTGAACTCCCTTATCGTGTGAATTCCACGCGTTAATGGAGCACTTGCCGTGTATGTATTGTATATCCAATATTAAAATAACACACAGTATATGTACACACAGTATAAATAGCAGGATTAAATCAATCCGGCTAACTGTTGGCCTGAGCTTCTGGTAGCTGATCGAGGAACACCA